GGCACACCTCTCACACGCTTCGTAGCCCCATAGGGAGCTCCACCGAAGGCCCCAGTGGGGGTGCCCTCATGCGGTTCCCCCACCCAGGGCAGCGCTTCGTGGCCCCATAGGGAGCTCCACCGTAGGCCCCAGTGGGGGTGCCCGCATGCGGTTGCCCCACCCAGGGCAGCGTTTCGTAGCCCCATAAGGGGGCTCCACCGAAGGCCCCAGTGGGGGTGCCCGCATGCGGTTCCCCCGCCCAGGGCAGCGTTTCGTGGCCCCATAGGCCCCAGTGGGGGTGCCCGCATGCGGTTCCCCCACCCAGGGCAGCGATTCGTGGCCCCATAGGGAGCTCCACCGAAGGCCCCAGTGGGGGTGCCCGCATGCGGTTCCCCCACCCAGGGCAGCGTTTCGTGGCCCCATAGGGAGCTCCACCGTAGGCCCCAGTGGGGGTGCCCGCATGCGGTTCCCCCACCCAGGGCAGCGTTTCGTAGCCCCATAAGGGGGCTCCACCGAAGGCCCCAGTGGGGGTGCCCGCATGCGGTTCCCCCACGGCAGCGTTTCGTGGCCCCAGAGGGAGCTCCACCGCAGGCCCCAGTGCGGGTGCCCGCATGCGGTTCCCCCACCCAGGGCAGCGTTTCGTATAGCCCCATAGGGAGCTCCACCGAAGGCCCCAGTGGGGGTGCCCGCATGCGGTTCCCCCACCCAGGGCAGCGTTTCGTAGCCCCATGGGGAGCCCCACCGAAGGCCCCAGTGGAGGTGCCCGCATGCGGTTTCCCCACCCAGGGCAGCGTTTCGTGGCCCCATAGGGAGCTCCACCGAAGGCCCCAGTGGGGGTGCCCGCATGCGGTTCCCTTCCCAGGGCAGCGTTTCGTGGCCCCGTAGGGAGCTCCACCGTAGGCCCCAGTGGGGGTGTTCGCATGCGTCTCCCATACCCAGAGGTAGCGCCACCGAAAACGATATTCATATTTGCGGTATTCACAACTGCATATGGTTGGGTCCTTCGCCTGGCTATTTTTTTAGCACATCCGTTCCTTTTGATATCAGAGCGTCCAAACAGCCCCAAGGTGCGCCCAAGGACGCCCCAGTACGGCTTAGGACAGCCCCGAGACGGCCCAGGAGGGCCACAAGACGGCCTAAGTGAGCCCCAAGCGGGCCCCAAGGGAGCCTCAAGAGGGCACCAACAGGGTGCCAAGGAGGGCAAGACGGCCCAAGATGTCATCGAGGCTTTCAAGACGAGGTCCAAGAGGCCTCCCACGAGGGCCCCGGTAAACCAAACTGGTTCCAATTGTTGCGTGAAGCGTAAATTTTTAGCACGTCCGCTCCCTTGGATATCAGTGCACCTCAGCAGCCCCAACAGGCTCCCAAGGACGCCCCACGACGGCTTAAGTGAGCCCCAAGCGGGCCCAAAGAGAGCCCCCAGAGGGCCCCAAGAGGGCCCAGGAGCGTTTCAAGACGGCCCAAGATGGCTTTAGACGGGCCAAGAGGCCAACAAGACGCCCCAAGAGGAGGCCCCCCACGAGACCCCCGGGAGACCCAAATGGCCCCATTCTTTTTGGTAAAGTACCTATACGACCACCCTGCGGGTGATAAGGAGGTTGGGGGGGGGAGGGGGGCCAGCAATGGGCAACAGTGGTGATTGTTGCGTTGCCGCTCGCTCTTGGGACCATCGATCCCACTATCGATCTCACTCGATCGATCTCACTATCGATCTCACTCGATCGATTTCACTGTCGATCTCACTCTGGATCTCGCTATCGATCCCACTATCGATCTCCCTATCGATATCACTCGATCTCACAATCGATATCACTATGCATCTCATTATCGATCTCACTATCGATCTCACGATCGATCTCACTATCGGTCTCACTATCGATCTCACTTGCTCTCACAATCGATTTCGTCATCGGTCTCACTATCGTTTTCGCACCAGCGGGACACCGGGACACCGGCGGGACATCGCGGGCCACCGCTTGCCGGAGGGAGAATGATTTGGTCCGGCTGGGACCTAGCCAAAAGCGGGACACCGGCGGGACACCGGCGGGCCACCGCGGGCCACCGTTTGCCGGAGGGAGAATCATTTGGTCCGGCCGCGCCTCAGCCACAGGAGACTTTCCTCTCGCCCGCCCACGCAGCTTCGCCTCGCCCGCACGCACGGTACGCACGAACACGAAACCGGGCTCTCAGTTCCACTTCGATCTTACCCCCCAACCTCCGATTTTTAGCATATCCGCTCCCTTGGATATCAGTGCGCCCAAACAGCCCCAACAGGCGCCCAAGGACGCCCCAGGACGGCTTAGGACAACCCCAAGACGGCCCAGGAAGACCCCAAGACGGCCAAAGTGAGCTCCAAGCGGCCTCCAAGGGAGCCCCAAGATGGCCCCAAGAAGGTTCCAAGAAGGGCCGTGGGGCCTTGCTTCCAACATGCCGCCAAAATCATCTGGGAGGCCTCCAGGACGCCCCCAGAGGCGCCGAGAGGCACCCTGGAGGCCTCGCAGGGGCGTCCAAGATGTCCCCGAGAATCGTTCCGCGAGGCACCGAAAGGCATCCAAGATGCCCCTGGCTCCCGACCCGCGCACAGGTATTGTTTGTACGTGCCTCTGTTCGTGTGCACTTGTCTGTGTGTACGCATGTGTCCTCCTCTTCCCACCTCCTCCTCCTCCTCCTCTTCCTCCTCTTGCCTCCTTTTCTTTCCTTCTCCCTCGTCCTCACTCCTCGGACCCGTGCCTGCTAATACCGTCTTCGGAGCCGGCTAGAACTTAGGCGCGCGCGAAGCGCGCGTGTGGCTCTGGTATAGTTAGATCTATGTGATGTTTTCTGATATTTTATATCATATATATATTATATATATATTATATATATATATATATATATATACATAGCATGGCCTTCGGCACATTCCGCCACCGTGCCTGGATTGTGGGCATGCAGCCTATTTGATGTAGGCCTCGGCCTAGGCAACTTCAACTTATTGTTCATCACCTCGGTGCGGGCGCTGCAGATGCCACCGGTCGATGTGGCGTTTCTATTGTAGCCTGTCAATGGTGCGATGCCTCGGATCCAACAGCAATGCGACGATCATCTTGACTCTCTGCGAAGTCGGGGCCACGTGCCTGAGAGGAGGAACATTGCCCAACTAATGGGCGGGCGCGCTGGAGTCGACCGACGCGCGCGTCGCGGGCGCCTTCGCGGTCGTTGATCCTCAACGGATTGATGGAGATCAGGCAGGAGCGCCGGCGCCTGGCTCCTGCGCCACGCCCGCCGGCCATGGCGCCCAAGAAACTTGCCCGCCCAGGCCCCGCCAACTCCACCAGCGGCCCCTAGTGCAACGCCAGCGGCAGCGCTGTGGGGCAATCCCACCGAGAAGGGCGATAGCGGCGCGGACACGGACACGGCCCCTTCCAAGTACCACGCCAAGTGAACCTTGGAGGACTTGGCGGGCCCGCCCGAAGACCAGCGCGCCCGAGAGATGTTCTACTTCGAACAATGGCGCGACGGCCGCTGGAGGCGCTGCGCGCGCAGGCAATGTCACTGCGTCCGACGTTTTCTCAGGCAAACATTCAAGATAATGCCGATGTCGGGGCGGGAGATTCACGGGGAAGGGCATCCAGGCTTACGTCGCTGCGCTATCAGACGAGCCCCATGAAGAATTCAATTCTTCATGGGTGGTTGGTGAACAGAAAAAACGAAAAAGGCGCTCGGAACAGGGTCAGATCTTTTGGCGAGGGGGAATGCCGAAAGCGCGACCCCATATGTACAGACAGACCAGTAATGAAATGCATAATTGCTGGTCGGCTCAGCACTTGGCCCGAGAGTGTCCGAATCCACCAGGGCAAACTACCGTTGCATCTGGCGAGTGGCGTGCTGGCGCCGTCGAATGCCCGGACTTCCCCGAGCGAGACCGCAAGGAACATTGGTACATATTTCTCCATGTGGTATGTGGTGTTCCACCGCGTTTTGGGTTGCGATGAGTTGGGCACCGCGTGCGCCATGAACGATTGGCTCGTGGGCGCGCGAGCGGACGCCGTTGGCTCCGACGCGAGGATTCTCGTCGGCTCGTGAATGCACGATTCGAAACACCAGATCCCGAAAGCGAAGCGCAACTACCACATCATTCTGATCTAGTAGCTCGGCACACACGCGACATGCACTACGAAGTGGTAGATGACTGCGGTGTGTGACCTGATCCAACAGCTTCCTTCACACCGTCGGGGCCCACGGTCTTTTCCGAGAGTCGATTAGCCAGAGATTATTCATTTGAGTTTTCTTGGGAGGTGATTCCCACGACAACGCCCATGGGATATGTTTCCAGAGTTCCAGTTCTTATCTAACATGGCGCGTCAGTTCGTCATTCGCCTCGATCGAGAAGCTGCTGAACGCCCAGCGTATCCTGCACGCGCGTGGCATTGCGAGATCGTGACGCGCGTTCTTCGCACTGGCGCACTGGCCCGCAGAAATCAGGGTACTGAAAGAAGAGGGGATACTTAGGATGCAGTGCTTATTTGCATTCAGGAGAACATGTCAACCCCGACCATATTAACTTCTACGCCGATGGTGATGACGATAATGCCATAGTGAGACATGCCTGGGGCCGTGCGCTTCCAGGGCGGCGAGCCGCCTCGCCGCGCAACCCGCGCGTCGACCCAGGCGCGCAATCTGTCGAGGACCGTGCAAATGTCATGTCTGACCGTACCGATTCATCATTTGATCTAGTACAAGAAGAGCGCGCCGGCTTAATCAAACGCACGGGATCCTCGGTTTGTACGCGGCCCAGATCCTGAGGAGGCCCGCTTGGTAATACCTCGGAGTTTGCTTTCCTGATGGATCTCATTACTGTCCGTGGTGAAGATCCGAGCGAGAATGCGCCAGTATCTCAATTATCTTGACGCATTGAGGCAATTCGTGACCACGACATTCTGGAAACGCTCCCAGACTCAGGAACAACAGCCAGCACTACTCAGCTCCGACCCTGCGCCGGCTCTGGAGACAGACCTGGTATTTACCACAATGGAGAACGAGGATGCCCTAGCGGAGCCCATCGACTACGACCCGGCGCGGGAAGAGCACGATCCCGACCTTCATCCCGACCATCCCGCGGCGCCGGCTCGCTGGGCCACGAGCCTGTCCGCGAAGGCTCCGAACTGGCCGCCGAGTGGCTTTTCCAGAAACGCCCAGACATATACAAGAGGCTCCTGGCCTGCCGCTGCGGCTCATTACTCGAAGACCCCTGGGCGGGCCCCGCAGCGCGCGCGCCGCCCCCAGCGCGTTCCAAAAGCGCCTCGCATCGCCGCGCGAAGAAGCCCGGGAGTTCTCATTGCCGAAAATGATTCGGCCGGGCTTCCCGAGAGTCGAAAGAAGCCCCGGAACGAGCCAACAACGCACGAACACGGCTTCACGAAGCCAGTCCCACGATGCCCCCCTGAAGCTTTCTAAATCTTGACTCACAGCGCTGTGGCCCCAAACGGCCCAAGCCGCCCTTGCCGGGCTCCCTGAAACTTTCCAGACGGCCCTGTAAGCCCTCGAACATCCGAAAGCCCGCGGGGTTCGGGGTTACTGCGCGATGTTTTTGTTACGAAGAGCGCGGGGCAAGGCGCATAACGCAAAACGCCAATGCAGTCCTGTGTTATGTGTAGTATTCCGTGTTTACATGTGTGCATATTCTGTGTATACATACATGTCGAGGTCAATCAAGATAATTCGCGGTAGATTTTCATGCGCCGTTGTAGCCATTGAACAATTTCCAGTGCACGTCGATGGGGCAGTAGAGATCGTTAAGTCCTTAACGAGATGGGGGAGGGAGAGATGGACAAGGGTGAGCCAAGGACGCCAACCACTGGAAGCTCCTGAACGGGGGCTACATCTGGCAGGCCGCCTCGAGCATCAGCCTGCAGCCCAGCGAGGCCCCGGCGGCCGCCTCGAGACGACGACGACTGCGAGGCCGACGACGACGACGGCTCCGACGCCGACGCCGACGACGACGCCGACGCCGACGCAGACGACGACGACGCGACGACGAGACGACGACGCCGACGACGGCGAGGAGTTGCTTTTCGCCTTCAGCCAGCTGTGGGCCTCACGGGGCCGCCCTCGTGGCCGCGCCTGGGGCGGGCCGGCAGGGGCCCCCCGAGCGCCGTCAAAGGCGCCCGTCGGCGACGCCGTGCGACGCCGTAGGGCGGTGAGTGTGCTCTCGGACGGGGCTGGGACAGGCCTCCTGCCCTGACACGTCGAGTAAGGAATCGGCCGCTCTCGGTTCGCGAGGGGGCGTCGCGGCCGTCCTTTTTGCGGGGCCAGGTCCGTCGGTTTCGGTCCCAGGCCGTTTTCACTGAGGGGAGGTTTACTAAAGGGAGGTTGGTCCATCCCCAAGAGTATGCTTTCGGACGGGGCTGGGACGAGGATAAATCCGAACGCTCTCAGAGCGTTCCAGAGCGCTCTGAGGAGGCCGCGGCGCCCGAGGTATCTTCCAGAGCCGCTGGGTCTCAGAGGTTCTCGGTATGTCTTCACCCGAAGTTGTGTTTGTCCTGGCGTCGCCCGTATCGTCGCCTCCGAGTGTTGGCGACACTGGCGACGACTTTGGAAGTGAAAGTGGCGACGTCGGCCGCGATGTTGACGGCGATGGCACTTGATGAGGGCGATGCTGCGATGGCGACGGCGAGGACGAGGATGATGGCGGGGACGACGGCGGGGTGCGCTCATGGCCTCCTCCCCCCTCGCTCCCAGCTCGCTCTCGGAGTTACAGTCAAAAACCCTAATAAGGACGTGCGACTTTGCTCAGGGTACCCTTGCGTCCTTGCTCTTCCTTGCTCTTGCGGTGAGTCAGGGTACCCTTGCGTCCTTGGGGTTCTCGTCGTCCGCCGCCCCAAAAATCCCAACTTCGGCTTCCAAGGGACTTGCGTCCTTACCGCGCGTGCTTATCAGGGTTTTGGACTGTAGCTCTTGGGCCTCCCGAGTCCGCTTCGTCGGGGCCTCCCCTCGAGCCGCCTCTCGTGCCCCCGACTTGCAGTGCGCTCCGCCCGCACGGCAGCCTGGGGGCGCTCCCGCTCCTCATCCGCTCGGACGTGTGCATTTTTTCTCGGCGAGAACCATCGAGGACCATCCTGGACCATCGAGCAAAAAAAACGCACGAAATCGAAACATGCACGGGAAATGGACGCCCGAGCGACGGCAAGTACCAAACCACCCCAACCCAACCCGAAGGCCTCAATTTGCCCTCCATTTCCAGTGAGGGGGGGTCGGGGAACATTGAAAACACACATGGAACCCGTACCCCCCCAACCCGAAATTCGGTTCAAATTCGGGTCTTCGGGTTGGGTTGGGGTGGTCTGGTAGGTAGTCAGCCCCCGGGTCGGACGATCGAAATTGGACAGTGCTCAGGAGGAGAAAAGACACACAGACACAATGAATCGTCGATCCCCCAGAAAACATGGGAAACTATGGGAAGTGGGGGGAAAGACGAAAACCCAGGAAATATGGCAACATATGGGGGATTATGTTATTTGTGTGTATTTATTTGTGTGTCTCAGGGCCCCTTCAAGTGCTTGCGTCATGGGGAAATCCGGAAGCAGACCTCGTCGCAGGCGCTCGTAGACACCCGGGCCACCCGGAGGCGCGTTGGGCCGATGATATGAGAGACTGGATGTTGTCTGAAGCAGGCTGTCAGGGACGCCATCTGGTTTGCGGTGCCAGAGCTGACGATCGGAAACGCCTTCATGCCAATTTTGTGAGTAGACCGTTACAGTCGGACCGAGGTATACGATCGAGATTGGTTCGGGGAGGGCACCCTGGTGTTATCCTGGCGAGGGTACTTTTTGTTTGTTTAGTGTGTGTGTGTGTGTGTTTTGGCCGGCGCAGGGTCCAGTGTTCTTGGAGGATGTTCTTCTATTTTAGGTCCGTTTGCAATGTCTCTCTTCTTAGTGGCGCTCTCGCCTCTCCCGCGCCTGGCGCCACGGCTCCCACCTGCGGCGCCCCCAGAGGCGTGCACCTGCAGGCCCTGATCCAGCTCAGCTCCCAGTCCTCACCCTTGGCGCGGCGGCGAGCGGGGGGGAGGGGAAGTGAGAAGGAGACGGCCTTCTCAGAAGGCGGCGGGACTTCTCAGAAGCCCTAGCGCCTTCGGAGAAGTTTTTCTGTCTTCGGGGAAGGCTTCGAAAACTTCTCAGAAGGCCCATGGACTTCCGAGACTTCTGCGAAGGCCCACCCCTTCTCATTTCCCCCGCTCGTTCGCCGCCGAATGGCACCGTTCGGTCGTATGTATTTTCTTCTTCGGCAAAGACCATCGAGGAGCATTTTCTGTTCACCCTGCGAAAAAAGGGGCGCACGACGCCGAATAACGCACAGGGAAGGGAAGTCCGAGAAATGGCAAGCTCCGCCCTCATCGAACCTGGCCAGGACGGGGATGAGTCCGTTCCAGAGCATTCCAGAACCCCCTCAGTACATTCTCGAACGCTCTGACAAGGCCGTGGCGCCCGAGTTATCCTCCAGAGCCGCTGGATCTCAGACATTCTCGATGTATCCTCGTCCTGGCTTCGTCTTATCCTCCCCTCCTCTCCTCCCCGTCTTGGCTGGGGCCCAGGCGAATCACTGGTTTAACAAAACAAACCTCTGCCATCGGCGCGCGGGTAGTGACCTGGCATCTCTCTGAGCTCAGGCGGGAGTCAGCAGGGGACGAGTGCGGCGGAGCCGCGTCGACATCGGCAGCTCCTGGCGGAGCCAGGGTGTCAGCTGCTGGCCGACAGAGCGTCCGCGGCTTCGATTGCTCCCCGAAGCGGAAGTCAAAGAGCTCGTGGGCGAAAAACATATTGGTGTCCGCGGCCTCGCGGACCGGGATCATGGGCCGCGACTGCACGGATACGGGGCGATTGCCCCGCGCGGAGTTTATCCGTACGACCGCGTGTCCGCGGGATCGCGCTTATCCGTGAGACCGCGAGGGCGCGGATACGGATACACGCTGGTCATTCAAAGCAGGTTTTTGTGGATTCCCAGATCCCAATCTATTTTAGGCGTCTTCTTACTTCAAGTGTCGAGCGGTTTCACCTGTTCCGTCCTCTTCAGGGGGCGGGCGGAAGCCCAATCTGCTTTCAACGCCTTCCTACTTCATGTTCTAACCCATTTCTTCCGACAGACGGGTATGTTCGCCTATCGTGAGCCCCCTCTCCTCCCCCCTCCTATGGAGGGGAGGAGGAGGAGGAGGAGGAGGAGGAGGAGGAGGAGGAGGAGGAGGAGGAGGAGGGAGATGATGATGATGGGGATGATAGAGGAGGAGGAGGAGGAGGAGGAGGAGGACCCTTTCCCCATCTCCTCCCTCCCTCTCCTGCCGCGCTCCACGCGGGGGGTGGTGCCCGGAGCCGGGGCGGCCGCCCCCAGGCACGGTGGTCGATGCAGGCCCGCGGTCCTTTGGCGTGGGGGCGCCACGCTCGGAGGGCGCCGCGAGGCGTCGTCGCTGCACGCGGCACGGGCCGCGCCGCGCGTGCCGCGTGCCGCGTGCCGCGTGCCGCTGGCGGTCCCCGCAGCACAGGGCGGGGCGCGCCAGGGCTCGAGGGGCCTCGAGGGCTCCTCGGGCCCAGGGACGCCGCCTCCCGCCCTCCTCTCCGGCCTCCCGCCCTTTGGGCTCCCGCTCGGCTCGTTCTCCGCCTCGGGCCTCGCGATGTGCGCACGGAGTGCCAAGTCGCTCAGCATGGCCCGGCGGCCCTCACAGCATACAATCTGTGAAGCATTGGGGAGGCTCAGACAAGGAGCGCCCCCACAGAAGAGGTGCCTTCACTGGGGAGCACTATATCGATACTGCAATTTTCGTGATCTGCTTGGCAGCCTCTTCGGAAGCTTGGTTAGCAGATGGCGACAGCAACAAACACCGTCTCCGCCTCATCCTCCTTTTCCTCCTCCTCCCTCCTCCCGTGTCGTCGCCCTCAGGGCGCATGCCCGGTGAAGCTCGACGTGCAGGCCGCCACCAGCGCTCCCATGCCGGAGGGGACCAACACCAGCCACTGGATGGGCACGTATACGCTGACCAACCTCGTGCCCCAAAGCGAGCTGCTCTCCGCTGCGAGGGGGGGGGCAGGATGGGCGAGGGGCGATGGGGAGGGAGGGGAGGGGGACAAGGAGGGGGGGGGGTGACGACGAGGAGGGAGAGGGAAGCAGCGGGGGTAGGAGGAGGAGGCGCAGGAGGTGGCGGAAGTTTAGGCGGATGAGCGGGAGGAAGAGCGAAGGGGGAGGAGGGGAGGGGGACTGAGGGCGATGCGGATGAGGAGGGGGCGGGAGGAGTAAGAGGGGGAGGGGGAATGGGAAGAGGAGGGGCACCAGGACGATGACGATGATGATGATGATGATGATGATGATGATGATGATGATGATGATGATGATGATGATGATGATGATGATGATGATGATGCTGATGCTGATGCTGATGCTGATGCTGATGCTGATGCTGATGATGATGATGATGGTGATGGTGATAGTGATGGTGATGGTGATGGTAATGGTGATGGTGAAGATGATGCTGATGATGATGATGCTGACTGATGATGATGCTGATGATGATGCTGATGCTGATGACGCTGACGCTGATGATGATGATGCTGATGATGATGAGGATGATGATGAGGATGACGATGATGATGATGATGCCGCTGATGATGATGATGATGATGATGATGATGATGATGATGCTGTCGACTACGACGATGGTAGTGGTGGTGATGATGATGCTGATGCTGATGCTGCTGATGATGATGATGACGATGGTGATGACGATGATGGTGATGATGATGACGATTGTGACGAAGATGATGTCGATGATGATGATGCTGATGATGATGATGCTGACGCTGATGATGATGATGATGATGATGCTGATGATGCTGAGGATGATGAGGATGACGATGATGCTGATACTAGTACTGATGCTGATGATGATGAGTAGGAGGAGCGGGATTATGATGATGATGATGATGATGATGATGATGATGATGATGATGATGATGATGATGATGATGATGATGATGATGATGATGATGATGATGATGATGATGATGATGATGATGATGATGATGATGATGATGATGTGATGAGGAGGAGGAGGAGGAGGAGGAGGAGGAGGAGGGAGGAGGAGGAGGAGGAGGAGGGGAAGTCGGGGGCCAGGAGGGGAAGCGGGGGGGGGGAGGAGGGGAAGGATGACACCTGAGGTGTGGGGGTCGAGGTCGGTGGAGGAGGAAGCGGAGGAGGAGCATCAGGAGCAGGAGCGAGGATGGAGGGCGGGATGGACGAGGGTGCTGACGACGATGCTGAGGATGACGATGATGATTATGAACAGGACTGTTCCTAGTGATGGTGATGGTCGTGGTGATGGCATGACGATGACGACGAGCAGGTTGTGAAGGTGGGTATGGTGATCAAGACTTTGATAACTAAAACTAGTGTTCTGACGATAAGTATGGTGAATCGGGTGATGCTTATGCTGATGGTGATGACCATGACCGTGAGTAAGCATAATCGAATACATCCAGGTACCCCGCTGAATTGTCCTGGCGGAGCATTGCCAGCCACGCCCAGGGGCCGGTCGCGGCAGCAACGAGGGCTAATTCGGATAGCTGGCATGTTATGGCAATGGCGGCTGTGAAGATGACCTCGGTGATGAGAATGATGATGCTGACGTCAGTCGTGTCGTCGGCACGGGCGTGGGCGGATCCGAACACGTTGCGGCGTTTGTGATCACGGCAGTAGTGCTGACGACGATGCTCTTGGCACGAACTGTGCCCTTGCTGCTTTGCGGTTGTGGCTGCGGTTGCGGGGTCCCGAGGTATACACCACCACCACATGCCTCACCCCGCCCCCTCCCAGAAGAGAGGAGGGGAAGAGGAGGGGAGGAGGAGGGTTCAGGAGGGAGGGGGACTGGAGGTGGCCTTGGTGGTGGTGTACATTCTTAGGGCCCGCATGCGGGGTGCGAGCGCGCGGGATTGGCTGCGCGCGCAGCAGCCACTGCGGCCGCGTGCTCGGTGGCGCTTGCCGCCGCGGTCGCGCAAGGCGGCCCGCGGGAGGCCGAGGGGGCGCGGTGCCCCCTGGGCGCGGCTGAAGGGCGGGGGCGCTTGCTGGCAGCCCGAGTGGTGCTCCCGGGGCTGCGGCCGCGGCTGCGGCTGGGAGGCGCCCGTGGGCGGCTTCGCAAGTGCAGAGGAGGCCGAGTCTGGGCTGGTTGCTGTAACCACTGAGCACAAAACCCTTCCTGCAAGTCGGGTTTGGGTGCGTGGAATGAGCTCTACAATCTACAGTTTGCACAGGTGTCCCTATAGAGAATGACGCGCCGCCAATTCTTACGTGCGCTAATGAGCCATGCGCGGTTTCGCTGTCTAGACGTTTCTACTGGGACGTGCATGGCTTACTCTTCGAGACAATCATAGGACTACGAGCAGGATCAACCAGGTTTGTACTCAACCACTGAGCCCTGGCAAGCCGAAGCAAACCAGAGACAGCTGTCTTGTAAGTAGTCAAACAGATAATCCAGCAGCGCGTTGCGACAAACGCCAGCGCTGCAAGCAATTGGAGCTTACTCTGCAAGAAGAGGTGCCCATACCTCTAGGTTTGCCTCGTCCTCCCTCTTCGGGCCTCCTCGGAGGCCCTCCCCGCCACCGCTGGATTCGCGTCGGAATTCCCGTGAGAACGCGCCCCGGGAGAGGTCCGGGGAGCAGCGGCTTCGGTACCTTTTGGCTCCCCCGTAAATGAGCGACGAGAGACAGCGGAGCTGATTGCACCGGCACCGGCGCGCAAAGCTGCCTGCGTGAAGTCGCGCGCGGGCGCCGTCGCCTCCCAAGCGGCGTGCCCTGAAGGGCGGTTCGTGCAGGCCATTGCGGGAGGCCGCGATGACATGGTGTGTGAGGCCCCTTTGTTCTCGCCGTTCGGGTGTGTTCTTTGCTTTTAGTTGGGTGCGCGGTTGTGGGCGCGGGCGCCCGTCGTGCAACCCAGAGTTCAAGACGGACAAACAGCCGCACACACACACCCACACACACAGACACACACACACACACACCCACACACCCACACACACACACGCACACACACACGCACCCACACCCACACACACACACCCACACACACCCACACACACACAAACCCACACACACACACACGCACACACACACACACCCACACATGCCCACACACACACCCACACCCACACGCACACACACACACACACCCACACGCACACACACGCACACACACACACGCACACACCTACACACACACGCACACACACACACACGCACACACACACGCACACCACACACACACGCACACCACACACCCACACACACACACACACACACACCACACACACACACACACGCACACACACACACGCACACACTTTTTGGTCGGCGGGGCGAAAGCGAACCTCTTCCGTTGAAAGCCACACGCACACACACGCACACACACACCCACACCCACACCCACACCCACACCCACACGCACACGCACACGCACACGCACACGCATTTCAAACGCACACGCACACGCACACGCACACGCGCACACGCGCACACGCACACGCGCACACGCGCACACGCGCACGCGCACGCGCACACGAGCACGCGCGCTCGCGCGCATGCGCGCACGCAATCACGCGCGCACGCGCGCACACGCGCTCGCGCGCACATGCGCACCCGCGCACACGCGCAACCGCGCGCACGCGCACACGCGCGCACGCGCACACGCACACACGCACTCACGCGCACGCGCACACACGCACACACGCACACGCGCACACGCGCACACGCGCACACACGCACACACGCACACACGCACACACGCACACACGCACACACGCACACACACACACGCACACACGCACACACGCACACACGCACACACGCGCACACGCATACACGCACACGCGCACACGTGCACACACGCGTAAACCGTTCTGGCCCAGGTGGTTTTGTACAGCAAGCCTCCAAAGTGTTTCAGTGCTGTACCGAGTTGAAGTGGCTCATATTGCACTGTCTACTCGCCCTGCAGGGCACAGTGATGGCGAAATGTCGGGGCGCATTGGAAGTGTCCGTGCTGCCCAGAATGCAATCCTGTCGGCAAGTTCAAGTGCGCCCGCTCGGGGTGCAGTGGGATTCGGCGAATTAGGCCCAGGACCCTTTTCTCCGACCATGGCACCAGGCAGGAGGGAAGTGGGTTCAAGGTGCTCCGCAGCTTCGAACCACTAAACTTTATCGTCGCCGTGGTGCTGCTGGTGCCACTGTGGATGCGGCCGGTGTCAACTTCTATGTGGAGCTCAAGCAAGGCGTCTGGGATCTGGTCAAACCTACTCTGTCGCAGTCTAGTCGTGATCGCGTTCAGTATGCGAGGGCGGCAGCTGCTGCAGGCTGGGCCCCAGGCGTTGCGAAGTCTAGCAACGTGGAGAAGGCGGGGAAGGCACTGCTATCAGGCCAGCAGCGGCTGCAGAAGGCCAAGGGGACCGCGGCCAAGGCGATGGCCGCCCTGCGGGAGAAGCAGGAGGCCGCCACCCTTCTGGAGCGGGAGCTGGCCACGGCGAGCGAGGAGGCAGCTGGGGCCTTTGGCGCTTCGACTGCGCCGCCGCCCAAGCTGGGCCGCGGACCCCTGCTGGAGCAGCTCAAGCAGTTGCGAGCTGGAGCGCCTCAGGGCACTGCCGTGGAGGCCGTTGTCGGAGAGGCCGCCAAGGCAGCCGCTGAGTTCGCCAGCGAGCAGAAGTCCGAACCCCCACCGCCTCCAGAGCAGGCTGTCGGAACAGCAGGGCCTGGCAGCCAAGCCGACCCCGAGGGCTGGGGGGGTGATGTTACGGGTGCTGATTCTGAATGATGACCGCCTCGCTGGCGATGATCCAGGTAGGCGCTTGGCAGGCGCGAGCTCCCCCGAGGGGCGCAAGCGGCTTCTCGGCGCGCTCGGGATCCTGCGAGAGGAGTCCAGGAGGAGGCGGACTGGCTCCCAGCGCGGCGAGGCATCGGCGTTCTTGGGTTGGGCCCCTCACGATTAACGCCCACGCATATTCTACATTTGAGTCCTTTCTTG